TGCGGGGCGGCTGCTCCGAGGAAGAGCAAGTGGCTGAACCTGCATTTGGATGGGAAGATTAGTAACAGTGGCCATGGCTGCTTTTTTGGGAGAAATTTGGGCGGGGCGCAGTATTGCAGTGGCTCCACCGTAGTCGGCGGAGGAGATGATGGTAAAGGGGAAGGGAATGAGCAGATAATTTCGGTAGCGGAGGCGAAAAAGCTGATGAGATTGGTGAGTGTGGAGGCGCTGAAGGGTAATCTAGGTTTGGAACAAAAGGAGGTGATTGCCTATTCCCAGCTACTGGATGCTTGTCAAATCGTAGGTGTAGCTAAGTCCCGAGAAGAGGCGGAGGCGTTTTCTCGTGTCCTGGATGAAGCCGGCGTGATCTTACTCTTCCGCGATAAAGTTTATCTTCATCCCGATAAGGTATTATTCTTTTCCCCCATTTCTCTTCTTTCTTCTTTACAGTCAAATCGTGTTGGCTATGATTTACTGCTCATAATGTATCAAATTTCAAATTGAGAAAGCAACAGGGGGATTAGGAATGTCTGTATCAACAAATTGACTGTTGTAGTACAAAGTGGGCCTTGCAATGTTTTGTGGAATTGGGATCTTGTGTCTCATTGTTTTGTGTATTGCTGATTATGTGCAAGTCATTTGGTAGGAAAGGAACATTGGGTATTCACAATTTGCATATACTTGGCACAATCATTTAAAAAATTAAAGCTTTTTTTGGTTTTAGATGAAAAGATTGTATTTGTTGGGGTAAAATAAGATAACAGTTGACCGTTTGATAAAGTTCTTTTTTTTTATAATAAGTTGTGCGTTAAAAGCAATGGTCATTCTTTCTTTCTGAATTCTGATGTTACTCAAAATTACTTTTAAAAGACCTTGATTTTTTTAAAATATCATCTAATTGGTGCTGCGACAAACATACAACCTAAGAAGTTTTTAAAAACTTTTTAAATTGTACAAACGCTAGAATGAAGTGCATTGGCCTAACATGGACTTTGTAAACGCACATAACTGAGGTTAATAGAAAGGCAGAGAGGGAAGTCAACCCCTGCCAACTTTCAACTATCTGGCTTTCTTGTTATTTATGTTCTTTATCCTCTGCAGTCTCTACAATTCTTGTTTGTGTTCTGCTGACATATTTTTGCGCAAGACAATATTACTCCCTCCGTCCCAAAATTATCTTCATAGTTACTATTCACATGGTCAATTCAAATTACTCTTAATCTTTTACTTTATATATCAAATTTTTATCTAATTTAAATTTTCTTGATCAGGCTTTGTAGCGGTTTTAATATAGTTTCTGAATATGTAAATTTTATTTTCTAAAAATAATCCGAGTGTGAACAGGGATCGAGTTGCTTTATCGTCAGTCAAGCATCGTAAACTGAACTATGAAGATAAATATGGGACGGAGGTAGTACTTGTTAAGGATGTTTACCATTTTGTAAAACATCATTCCCAATGTTGCAGAAATGGGTGTCAAGTGCCCAGCCTCTGTACTTTTAAAAAAGAAGTACGAAGTGAGCTGAAAATGACTAGACCATGTCTTCTCAAATGCCTAACTCGGTTCACTGTGTAATCATTGGCTCTGTAAAAAAAGAATAAATTATTTTCATTTGTCTTGTGACTATAATGTTTTCAAAAAGGGTGCAGTGTCCTTAACTAAAAATGGTCGGGCACCAAGGGGAGGGAGGCAGCCATCTTGTCTGAGTTGTACTGCACTGCTTGTTCAGTTTTACAAAGGAAACATAACCATTTCCTTCATTAGCTTTTCCCAGTTTTAATGTTCTCATTATTGAATAAAAATAGTACACTTTTGGTTTTTTTACTATCATACCATTTTGGATTTGAGTCCAAAATTTTCACTGTTTTGACCTGTTGCCCGCACTAAGGTCTCTTGATGCTTTCTTGCCACCTACCTTGTGTAAAATCATTACGTAATTTGAAATTACCCAGTCAAATGATCAAAATGACCAATAGTGACAATAAAATGAGAGAAATTAAAAGGACTGGATCAAACTCAGAAATTAAATAAAATTCATGAAATATTTGCTTACATCTTCAGGTTGTTGATCTAGTTAGGAAGGCAATGCCAATTGCACTTTTACCTGAAGGTGATCCATCCACAGATGAGCTTAATAAACTACAGGAAGTTATGGATGGCATTGACAAGCTTGCACATAGACAGGTCCGCTTCATTCTTTGGACAGGTCTCGGGGCAGGTATTCTGTTGGTTGGCCTTTTCTTCCGTCTTACATTCTGGGAATTCTCTTGGGATGTTATGGAGCCAATAGCGTTTTTCACTACTACAACTGGTTTAGTCATAGGCTATGCATACTTCCTGTTCACTTCAAGGGACCCCACTTACCAGGACATGCTGAAGAGGCTCTTCATTTCTAGACGAAGGAAGCTCATCAAGAAGAAGAATTTTGATATACAGAGATTTGTAGAACTCCAGAAGAAATGCAGGTTACCCCAGAATGGAACAAACTCAATGAATCGTAAGTTGGGGGTAGATCTAGAAGAAATGCTACATGGCCATTAGAAGGTATAATTTTGCTGTAGGCTGTGTTTGGTGATAAGTGCCTACCAAAACAGTAAAGCTGATTGCTGAAGCTTCTGCTATCTTTATTGACTTGTAGAAAAGATTGGAGAAGATTAATAAGCTTAATACTCTAATCTAATGCTAAATTTCTAATGCCAATTTTTCGAAGTAACGCTGAGGTTATTGGTGTTCCCTCTGAATGGGCTTCTCTTTCGTTCCTTTTGTGAAATAACTCTAAAATGTGCTGGAGTATCCTGTTCTGCCCAACACCATCAATAGCAAATGCATAGTGAAACCCTATTTATATGGCTCTTGCCCACAAGAACAGCAGACAGAAAACATAGCACTCTCACCATATCACCCCAAATCAGCTCCAACCCATGCCAAAGATAATATAGTCGGGTGCAATAGTGAATTGGGGAACCTTTGAGTGGGCGAGAAAAAGACTTGGGCTCCACAATAAAAATTCCATTTTTTTCTTTAAAGTGGTAGGGAGTATAATTTTTTATTTGTAGTCCAACTTTTACAAAAATATAGCAACATTTTTAACTTTTATGATTTGATACCAATATATATATATATATATATATATATATATATATTCATTTACCCCAGTGCCGCAAAGGCTCCCACCTACGGTGGGGTAAGGGGGGGTCGGATGTACGCATTCTTACTCCTGTACTAAAGAACAGAGAGACTGTTTCCGGATGACCCATAGTGAAAATCGCGTCCAAAAATGCATGGACTGACTGTTGCTTCATAACAAAGAAGCGCAGACAGTTTAGTGAGCCATTTTGCTTTATTTCATCATATTTTCAAGCCAAAAAATAATGAATCTTTAGCTAAATATAAGTTTTTATACAAAAATATAAGTTTCATCTGATGGAGCTTCTTAGGTCCAAAATTTCTAGAAGTAGATTCAAGTGTTAAAATTAAAATCTCATGGCTAAACTATTTTATTACATCTTTTTATTTTAAAATAGGTTTGAAGTAACAAAATACTCCCTCCGTCCCAATTTGTAAGATACATTTCGGTTTACGATGTTTGACTGACAATAAAGCAAATTGATCCCTGTCAACACCCAAATTAGTTCTAGAAAATAAAATTTACATATTCAAAAACTACATTAAATCCGCTACAAAACCTGCAAAAAATAATTCAAACTTCATAAACTTTTGATATATAAAATAAAAGTTTATGAGTGATTTATGTTGACCAAGTGAATAGTAAATGTATCTTACAATTTGGGACTGAGGGAGTATTAAACTCCAAAATCATTATTTCAAAATGTTTGCCTTTTTAAATCATAATTATTTACAAAAAAATGACAAAAAATTGATGTAAGTAATAAATGAAAGATTTTAATAAAAAAATTATTGGTAAATATATTGACGGTGTTGGATTGTAGGAAAAAACTGAATTAACTAAATGTCCTACGAAGTAGTTTTTAGGTTAAAAACTAAATTATATGGTGGAATCGTCCCACCAAAACAAGTTGTCCCTAAATGTCCTACGAAGTAGTTTTTAGGTTAAAAAGATCTGCATCTTCTTTCTCTTTTTGTCAATCTAGCTAATCGTTTCTTTCATAAATTTGCCCCTGTTTTTATTCTGTATTTTTCTTTTCTTCTACAATTCTCTTCTTCTCCATCAATCTAAAATCTAATTATCATATTGCTCTACTTCATCTTAAACTTAACTCTTGTCCGAGCTCTATCTTATATTTGTTCAGTCCGTGTGTGTGCGCGTGCGTGCGTGAGAGAGAAGAAGCAATATAATTTTGAGATATTACTCGAAAAAGGATAACAAAAGTTTCAAAATTTCAAAATAGGACTGTCATATTTTTATTCCCAAATAGGACTAATTATTGTCATGTTTTGGCAGTACCAGACTTCAAACATGGCAGTGTTTTTCAAACATAGCAGTAATTACTCCTATTTTGGGAATAAAAAACTTGGCAGTCCTATTTTGAAATTTTCAAACTGTTTTAGTCCTATTTGATGAGCTTTCCCTATAATTTTACATGTTAACTTTGTGTTGTTTGAAATTTTTTAACTACTTTAATATAATAGAAGCTGTTTCTTACAACTTATAAATATCCTACCTATTTTTATACATTTATTTTTTAGCATATAATATTAAAATATAGAAAAAATGCACAAATATAGGGATAATTATATTTTTTTCTCAAAATAGAACATACTTAATTACACACGCATATAACTTCCGCAATTACTAATGAATGAGTTCTAACTATTTTAGGAAGAAACCAATAATTTTGTCTATTTTATATACTCCGTATATTTTAGTCAATTTTCTCTAATATGGAGTAGTAATCATCACCACAATAATAAGAATACGTAATAATTGGATAACATTATATTGGACTATTGAAATAGTTGGAATAATCAGATTGAAATAATATAGTTATATGCTAGAGCTACAAACTCCTACAATTATTGCTATACGGTTTTGTTAAAAATTACTCCGTAACAAGAATAGCTTAATCCCTCTAGAGGATTATATATTGCACCAAGAAATATAGTATGGTGTCAGACACATCTTCTTTAATGACAAACATGAAGAGATCGATGGTCGGCTATAAATTTTATTGGTGGCGGCGGTGTATCGTACAAGCAAAAGCCTAATTCCTCGTCTGATTCATCGGTAACACTCACCACTTTTGTACCTGTCTCATTGCATTCCATTCGGCTATGTTGTGTGATTCTTGAGACAAACAGTGACATTCCCTCCACCATACCCATAAGGTTATCTTCAGAATCCATGAAAGATGTTAGCCCCAACTCTTTCATTATCTTCATTGGTTGAAAACAATAAGAGAGCGTAAACTTCGGAACCTGTGAGATGGAAATCGTCTTATACTCCATATTCAGCATATTCTTGCGAGACAAGAGATGAGGATTTTCTCTCATTTTGTCGGCTAGTTTTAGCAACCCTCTCTTTTCCTTGGGGAGGATGATGGCCATGGAGAAACACCTTCCTAGTTTCAAATCTTCATGCCCGGATTTATAGGGCATCTCAAGAACACAGTAGTCGTCAAAGGAAGTGTGCGCGTAAGTGCTTTCATATTTCATCATGAATGGTACTTCGATCACAGTGGGGTCGTCCTCTTTTTCTCCAAGGTGGAATTTCTCGGTTTGTGTATTTGATGGCTGAAACTCGTTTTCCCAGCTTGCTTTGAAATAAAGCCCGTTCGCATGGATAAGGGTTACATATACCATTAAAGGCACTCCTAAGAATTGAAGAAACGGGTTTATAAGCCCTTTTGTCTCATCATTAACCCATTCATTCACCTCATCTACACCTGTAGCCTAAAAAGAAAGAAAAGTTGCAAATTAATTAAGTATAGCCCATGCGTATAAACTGAGAAAGCAAATGATGATACGTTTCTTGTATAGAAACATATAGTGAAGAGAAAATTCCTTAAATAGAACTAAAATAATGATAACGTTCATAGATAATAGGACTATCAATTTTTCATTCCCAAAATGAGACCCGTTCTCTCTTGTTTTGAGAAATTTTAATCAGCTTATGCGGACTATATATAGGAATACATAAGACCTATTTTGGGGTCTAAAAAATATTAGAAATCATATTTTTTGAACTTTGTGTATGTTTTGGTTCTATATTGTGCAATTTGTACTATAAGAAAAAACTCAAGGTGAAGCAGTGGTGGACCTAGTCTATGTACGCACATACGGAGGGGTGTGTTCTTACAACATGGGAAAAACCAACATTTAATGCAAAAGAACGAGACTAATTGTAGGGTTTCTCGGATCACATAATTCGAAAGACTTATTCCAAATGAAGTGGGGTTAGCTTTTTTTGTTTTTTAATTTCGGAAAGGTTCATTGGGGTAGATGGGTAGTTTGGTTGGGAGTGGGGGCAGGCAAATGTAAAATCACATTTTTCTCTAGAGTGATAACTTTTTTATTTGTAGTACAATTTTTACAAACATATATCAAAAGTATGAATGTATGATGCTCCGTATTTCTTATAAAAGAAGTCCAAAATAGGACTAAGTACAGCCCCCAATTAATTAAGTTTCCAAAATACCCTTTAACATAAAATTGAAGGAACGGTGGTCACAAGTCCACAACTCCTGCAATCCTTTACAAAAGTCATCACAAAAAAAAAACTAGCTTGGTTTTTCCATTTTCCATTTTGACCAGCACCATCATTCAATAATGGACAAGCCAGGGCGGCAACATGACTCCTTCACCAGCCTTCTCAGAGCAGTAATTTCTCCACCTCCATGGCCGGAGAGTAGAATATTTATGAAGTACCTCACATCGTCCTCCGCTCTAGTTTCTCAAAGTCCATCATCAGCTCCTTCCACTTCTTCCTCGGCTAAATCGTCACGTTCAGTCCACCGGAGTGCCCTTCTTACACCCGGACAACCACCAATTCACCGCTTTGGACCGGTCCATCTCATCCAGCTCCACTTTGACTCTAGCCCTTGGCCTTCTTCAGGATCGCCAATGTGTCATGCTACGATTTAAGAGCTTCCAGCTTCTGCTGGCCTTGATCTCTTCGTCAGATTCCTTCAACTTGACCAATGACCAGGATCTCTTCGGTGACGTTCGGGACCTCTGTCCCACCTCTATCCCCAATTCGATTCAAATCAACGTAAGGTTAAAACAGGAATTAAAAGAATTTTGCTTAGAATGGAGGCTGTGAAGAGTAAAAATGTGGCTTTGTTTAGAATTACCCATTATTTTATGATGGTCCGTAATATTATTGAACTCATTTAAATGCTATCGGACTATTATGCATCATAATGAGTCTCTTTTGAAGGCTATTGGACCCAACGTCGGAGTCTATCGGGCTGCTCGTGATGGTTATTGGGCCTGATCAATGGAAACTATTAATACGTTCAGACAAAATTGAGTGATTAAATTAATTTGGATCATTTAATATATCTGATTAGTTTAATTATAAATTGAGTCTTTAACAAAATGGACCAATCCTATTGATTTCTCTATTTCAAGCCCAATATGAAATAGTGGCCCAATGAATAAGAGACATGATCCAATTGATAAATAGAGCAATGAATCTGGTTAAGAAATATGTTTGTATGCGTGGAAAGTGGCTACGAACCTTGTTAAAAAGGATGTCCAAATACATTATATAAGTGCTGATTTTTCTAGCTATTAAAATGCAAGAAAATAGAGCCCGAAGCCCATTTTACTTGAGGCCCATAGGTATGGACGAATTTCTGCAACCCTAGGTCATATTTTTACCCCCTCCACACCTATAAATATGGGTCTCAGTTGAGAGGAATGGAGGAGAACTTCCAGTCGAAGAAACGCTGCAGAAAAGCTCTGAAGAACTCCTGAAAGGCTCTGAAGGATTCCAAAACATCGGAAGATATCAAACCACGTTTTTGTCAAGAATATATGATAGAGGGAGAGGAAATGAGTAATATTGTAATGTACTCCGGATTTTTTGTTTTGCCTGCAATTACTAATGAAATATTTGTTCTCTTTTTCATTGTATCTGAAGTTTTTGTTCACATAAATTCCATCAGATAAATTTAATTAGAAAAACTTATCAGATAAACTATAATTAGATAAAATTTAATCAAATAAATATAATCAGATAAAATTACTCAGATAAAATTTAATAAGATAATTTCAATAAGATCAAATTTAATCCGATAAATATAATCAGATAAATTTTATCAGATAAAATTAATTTTGTCGACAACCATAAGTCTGAAATAATTCAAACATGTGTCGGATCTAATTTAATACTCCTGCCTAACTGAGTAAAGAAACACATTCCGAACACATTCTCTCCAGTCGGAACTGCCAAATCCGAGAGGGAGGAATCCCTTTAAATCCGTGCTCTCCTCCAGTCGGAACTGTGAAATAATGAAACAGGATGCTCTCTAAGGAGCCCTGGCAGATATATTTATAGTAAAGAGGTTTAATGTATAATTACATGAATAACCCTATTATTAATTCTATTACACCCCCTCAATCTGTGCGGGAGAAACAACGCGCAGGTTGTCTTTCAAAAAATGAAAACGCTGACTAGGGAGACTTTTAGTAAAAATATCTGCCAACTGGAGATGAGTAGGTACATGTCTAACCACCAGATCTCCGTGAGCAACTCGTTCTCGAACAAAATGATAATCAATCTGAATATGCTTACTTCTGGCATGCTGAACTGGATTCGCAGTCAAATAAGAGGCTGAAATATTGTCACATAAAAGATGCACAGGCTCGGTAATGGGATAGCCGAGTTCGAACAAGACAGAACGTATATGAAGTGTATCTTGGACAGTATAAGCAATGGCACGATACTCAGCTTCGGTGGAAGATTTGGAAACTGTAGGCTGCTTTTTGGACTTCCAGGAAATTAAATTTGGGCCTAAAAATATAGCAAAACCTGTGGTGGAGCGAGAACTATCAGGACATCCAGCCCAATCTGCGTCTGAATAAGCAAGTACGCATGTTGGACGATCAGAATGTTGAAGCCAAAGACCATGATCACGCGTACCCTGCAAGTACCTGAAAATTCTTTTGACTGCAAATAGATGAGTAGTACGGGGGGCATGCATAAACTGAGATACCAAGTGTACTGCATAAGTAATGTCTGGCCGAGTCAAAGTTAAATATTGTAATGCACCTACCATGCTACGATACTCAGTAGAATCAACTAGTAACTCACCGTCAGAGAGAGAGAGAGTAGTACGTGATGCGAGTGGAGTACGTACGGGTTTGACCGTATGAAGATGGAACCGAGCCAGAAGATCTGAGACATATTTGTTTTGAGAGAGAAACAGACCTTTAGGAGAACGAGATGCCTCAATACCCAAGAAATAGTGTAGATTACCCAGATCCTTCATAGCAAAATGATTAGAAATAATAGAAATAAACTGGGTAATGGTAGACTCAGAATTGCCAGTAATAATAATATCATCTACATATAATAATAAATAAATAATACTATTATTCTGGCGATAGATAAATAAGGAATTATCAGACTTGCTACATGAAAAGTTATGCTGAAGAAGAAAACTACTAAACCTATGAAACCAGGCCCGTGGTGCCTGCTTAAGACCATAAATAGCCTTGCGCAGACGACACATATGATTAGGAAACTGAGGGTGAGAAAAACCACGGGGTTGACGCATATAAACCTCCTCTGTCAAGTGACCATGTAAAAAGGCATTTTTAACATCAAGTTGACGAATAACCCAACGAAAAGAAACTGCCAGGGTGAGAACAATTCGAACAGTGGTAGGTTTAATGACAGGACTAAAAGTTTCAGAAAAATCAATACCAGCCTGTTGATTAAAACCTTGAGCAACCAATCTGGCCTTATGACGCTCAACTGACCCGTCTGAATGATATTTCGTTTTATAAATCCATTTACAACCTACAATATTTTTAGTGCTGTCAAAGGGCACTAGATCCCATGTATTATTATTAATGAGTGCATTAAATTCATCAGCCATGGCCTCCCTCCATTTTAAATGTTTGTTAGCCTCAGTAAAACAGGTAGGATCTGCGGTATTAACAACTGTACTTAGATTGAAAATAGTTTTGGGCTTAAAAATTCCGGACTTGGCACGGGTTTGCATGGGGTGCTTATTAGAGGCCTGAGTGGTCACAACTGGGTCGGATGAGGAGGAAGAGGTATCGGCTGAATGGATATCAGGCTGGGAGCCGACGACTTGGGTGGTAGCAGGATGGTGAAGGGAGGTATCGCTGGCCGTAGACGGTGTAGGCGGTGTAGGAGTAGAGTGTGGGGATGGATTGGGATCAGGTTCGGCTTCCGGGTTGAAGAGGGGAGTCGGAGGTGGAGAGGACGGAGTAGACCAGCTGGACAGGGAGGAAGAAGGTGACAGGGATGACGGTTGACCGGATGACAAAGTGCCTACGGGTGTTAGAGAATATGGCATTGGTAAGGGTGTAGGCTGAGATGATGGAAGAGGGCGAGATTG